GCCCGAAATACTGAAGCTATGTGCAGGTATTGTCGAATGACCAGCAATTTCCAATAGTTTTGTATCCGATCTGCAGTTTATATTTTGCAGCGTGTCACGTAATCAGCATCATTCCACTTGCAAATCCAGTTCAGTCCAGTCTAGTTCAGTCTGCATACTACTCCCAGCTGGCCATGTACAGACTTCTTCCACACTGGCATATGCATACAGGACAAGACAGGTCAGCTCTCTCGCGTAACACCTTGCAGTCCAGCTTAGAGGGTGAGCGAGATTTGTCGCCCCTGCCACCAGACAGGCCTATTGAATGTTCCTGCTCCTTCGGTGTGCTATCAGTGTTAAAAAACGACGCCTGACGATAGAAACTTGTAAGTATGTGTGAAGTGGTCTGTGTTGCCCACATGCCGTATATATTTAGCTTGTCAGGAATTTTCGAACGGTTGCTGAAAATATTTTGTAGCCTCTCTCCTCCCTCTGGGAACATTGTGTTGCGTTCTTGGGCAAGACACTTTACTCTCACAGTGCCTCTCTCCACCAGGGTGTGTAAAAGGGTACCGGAAAATTTAATTCTTGTGGAAACCCTGAGATGGACTAACATCCCATCCAGGGGGGAATGGGGTAGAAATACTCCTAGTCGCTTCAGGATACTGAAAATCGGAGATAATCGCCAGTTTGATGGGCCACGTGGCTCGTATGCAGACTTAACCTATCTTGTTACCCTCTTTATTTTCAGTTGATAGAGCGGTTCGCCCAGTCGTCAATGCCCGCTGCCTACAGTTATTTAACCTGCGGCTAGTCAGACATTTAACGTACTGCCTTCTGAGAGCAACCACAGAAATGCTGATCTGTCATAAACCTGTCAGCCTACACCCACGTTCTTCAGGAAAGCACAGTTCCATTACCCAGTTATTCCATGCTTGTGCAGGCCCACTACTGCCTGTCCTAAGATCGGGTACACTTGAGATGGACATGGGACTATCCAATGCAAACAGAACTGAAGTATGAAAAGTTTGTTTTCTGTCAATGGACAAAGCATGGGCTGAACGTTTTTTTAATGATC